GACAAGACAAGACAAGACAAGAACAACATCAAAGCCAACACAAAAATCAACACCAACAACGACGACGACTCGACGACGAGGATTGTCTGAATCAATCCTCTGTTTCCGGACAGGCAGAATTGCCGGTGGCCTTGCAGGCGGCGGACGAGGCCCATGCCTCGTTGCCTGAAGGGATGCCTGCACCCGCTGCTTTCTTACCCTGCTTTGAGGGCACGGAGCAGCGACAGCATCACCACCACCGCCACCGCCACCAACAACAGCAACACCAACAGCAGCAACACCAACAATAGCATCATCATCATCAGCATTATCATCATCATCATCATCATCACCATCACCATCATCACCATCGTCATCATCATGTCGTCGTTATGGTCGTCATCGCCATCTTTGCCGATCTTTGCCACGCTAGCTGTTTGCTGGACAGGAGGCGTGCTTAGATACTGTCGTGCCATGTTCAAGCCCTATATTCATGGCCAGGGTGCGACATCTCCAGCAAGTAGTGGCTCCGATGGGCTTTTGAAGCATCGGGGGACTTAGGAAGAGAGCCATGAAAGATTGCGCGTGCAAGGTTGTTCTACGTTGTGGCAGCTGACGATTCCATTCTAGTAAACTCCAGTGCTTTAGAAATGCAGCGCCATATACAGCGTCAGGAGTAGTAGGAGCAGTAAGACCAGCAGCAGCAGCAACAACTTTGCCAAGAATAGCAAAGAACAAGAAGAAAGAGGCTCCAGTGCAACCTGGATATGTTCTGGGATGCAGTCAGGAGCCAAAACAAGAAAAACCCTAAACCCTAAACCCTAAACCCTAAACCGCATGGATGAGTTCGAAAGCCCAGGGCTTCGATTCACTGAGCAGCGCGCTCGCTTCTCTCGAGACCCCGTGCCGTGGCGCCTTCAGCAGGCTTATAGGATCAGAATTGATGATTGTGCCTCAAGGCAAAAGCAAAGGGTTTAGGGTTTAGGGTTTAGGGTTTAGGGTTTAGGGCTTGGCTTTAGGGCTGTTTTGCTTGTTGATTGTTGCCTTTGGGTCATCGCCGTCTTCTTAAGTTGACGGCTGGTTCCACTCACGACGCGTTCACGACTTAGACCTAAGCCCTAGACCCTAACACCCTAAAATCCAAACCAAACGCTACACCCTAAACCCTCAAGCACTAAAGCCCTCAACCCTAAAACCCTAAACCCTAGAACCCTAAACCCTAAAACCCTAAAACCCCTAAACCCCTAAACCCTAAACCCCTAAACCCCTAAACCCTAAACCCCTCAGCCCCAGACTTCTTGTCCAAAGCTCGCAAGGACCAAGAGGCGTCGCCTCGAGATGCCTCCGAACCGCTTCCACATTCCCAACAACAGCCACTTAGGTCGCCAAGGAGTCTACTGAGTCTACTATACCATCTCTACTTGCTACAATCATAAATATATATATATATATGCATATATGCATATACATATATACAGATAGATAGGTAGTAAAGATACTAGGTACAAAAAAATACGATGATACATGATACCCAAAAATAGTTTGGCAATAGTCCTAACAAAAATTATAACAATAAAGTAAAACACAACAAACATAAGAATAGTAATCAAAACGATAATCATAGTAACCATAATGGCAATAACAACCGTATAAAGCAGCAACACATACTAACAATAATGCTACGAAGTTTGAGTTGAGATTTTTGAGCTCTCATACTGCAGCCTCTTTCTGTAGTTGTCAGCTGCTGTTTCTCTGAAAACGACTCGCTTTCTAAATTGGGGTCCCTTTAAGGGTCCTTTTTTATAAGGTGCCGTATTATGTTGGGGACCTAGAGAACTACCCCCCTAAACCCTAAACCCTAAACCCTAAACCCTACACCACAAATGTGGGCAACCGAGGCCAAGATGCAACAGCCGACAATCCGCCGCTCTTCCGAAAACATCCCCTTCGTGACGAGCAGTGCCTGGTCCTAACGGTAGGGTTTAGGGTTTAGGGTTTAGGGTTTAGGGTTTAGGGTTTAGGGTTTAGGGTTTAGGGTTTGCTACATAAGGATTTAGGGCCTGAAACTCCCAGACCCCAAAAGCTCAAAATGCCAGAGAGAGGCCCAACCCACTCCCTTTTTTTGTGAAGGGCTTGGTGTGCGGTACGCATGGCATCGTTCAGAAATTTCGGGCTTAAGGTCACGCATCTCCACTTAGCGTTGGGAGCCAAGTGTTCTAGGGCTTGCCGCACACCTTTTTTGATTTTCTAGGGCTTGCCACACGCCTTTTTTTGATTGTAAGAATTCGGGCTTTGACATGCTGCCCCTCAGCTCCTTTCCGGATATTACTGGATGCTTGGGAATCAACTACCCCCTTTTCGGGTCTAGGGGCTCCAGCCCATCTTCTCCTGTGTTGCTTCGGGTCTGCCCAACCTACTCGGCTAGGATATGGGGTTTTGATGACACGGTCCCTTTTCGAGGCCGTGGTGCCTGGTTTCTGCTTCTTTTCCTTTAAGCCCAGCATTTCTGCTGAGGGTTCGGCTTTTCTGGAACCAGTCGCCACGTTGAGGATATATGTCTGCCGAACCACTCACTCCCATTAAATAGTGATAGGGGCGTTGAGAAACAAGCATCCTGAATCACATACTCCACCTATGCTGTCGGTCTTGATAGTGCTTGGACTTATCTGAAACATATCCGGTTAAGGTCTTGGGTTTTGGCGGCCCAGCCAGGCATGTCCTTGACGTTCAGGGTTTGCAGCCCACCTTCTGCTGTTCAACCTCAGAGATCAGTGTCCAAGATGGTTTGATAAGCTAAACCCTAAACCCTAAAGCACCAATTGTGGGGGCTTCGGCTTTTCCGTATCACTCATGCCAGGGTGTTGGGTTTGCTACCATCATGTCAGGTTACGCTTGGGGTTTGCCCTTTTAGAGGGTATCGAGTTATACGAACAATGCATTCCTTCGCGCAGAGCCGTACTATACGCGGTAACATTATTCAAGTCGTGCCATCAATCATGTCATCTGAGTAATCTGCACGTTAAAGACCCACTTTCTTTTTTGTGAAGGGTTTGGTGAGTTTGGTGTGCGGTAACCATGATATTGTTCAGAAACTTTGGGTTTTTGATCCAACATCTCCTTTGTAGGGTTGGGAGCCAATCATCATGATTTCGGGAATGAGTCAGAGGCCAAGGGCCTCTATCACACGTTTTTCTGGGTCTTAGCAGCCTTAGCACCCCAGATACTGATATGAGATGATGGCTGGCACACCCAGCACATGATTTTCGATAGACAGAGAATATCAGACGGTAAGCCCTAAATGAGGTGACGGGGTCCGGACAACCCAAGCATCAATAGCAACACCCTCGAAGACATGATGTCTAAGGGCTTTAGGAGGGACCCCTAATAGGGACCCTTAATCCCATGACCTTAAATAACCATTGTATAGTCCTTACTTTCCCGTTATATAGCCAGGTAGTCTCCATATTCACCCCAATAACCTACAAGGGTCCCTATTAAGGGTCCCTCCTAAAGCCCTTAGATGATGGCTGGGTACCGTACACTTGACACCCTCCTGATCCTGAAATCCCCAAACCCTACCCGGCAATGATGGGTGGCAAGCCACAAAACGCTCGAAAGAGATGACGGGTGGTAAGGCCTAAGCCCTTGAACCGCCCTCCAAACAAAGCACCAACCTCATGAGGAGAAGTTGCATCGTAACACACAGTCACAATAACCCTAAATGGTGCCAAACCCGGAACCGTAGCTGGGATCCCCAAACCCCGAAAGGGTATTATTGGTGGCAATCGGGTAGAGACACCTAACCCTGAGACGGGCAACTGTTTCCCCAGCGTCCCAAGCTCCGAGAAGAGATGATAAAACCCTAAACCCTAAACCCCTAAACCCTATACCTAAACCCCAATAACAAGTCCAAATCGTACTAGAAAACGTTGGGCCTCAACCCACGACTTCTCAAAGAGATCATGGAGCCAAACCTTGAAGAAGGTTAGTGGATCCCTCAAGCCCCAAACCCAAGCCTCCCAAACTTTTGTCGAAGCTGATGGGTGGCCAACGGTTCAGGGTTTTAGGGTTTAGGGTTTAGGGTTTAGGGTTTAGTGTTTAGGGTTTAGGGGTTTGGGGTTTGGGGTTTAGGGTTTAGGGCTTAGGGCCTAAAGTCTTACTTGCGACTGAGATGATGCACAAAATATAGCCTTCCCTGCATCTCTCTCATGCAAGCGCAGCATAGCTCCACAGAACGACTCAAAACCCAAGCACAACATATACACACCGCCAAGACGAAAATTATTACTTTCTCCGATTATTGAAGTTCGCACTAATCTTACGTTTCTTCGTATTTCTGTCATGGCTATTGTTCGCATACTGCTAGATTGTGGTATTATTGTACTAGTATTACAAATTAATTTTGCTATTTCTACCTAGTATTACTGTGTTTTTACCTTTCCCTATTCTATCTTGCTTACTACCCTAAACTCTAAGCCCTAAACCCTAAACCCTAAACCCTAAACCCTAAACCCTAAACCCTAAGCCCTAAACCCTAAACCCTAAACCAAACCCTACCGAGGCTCCGATCTTTGGGATGGATGCTCTCCCAGGAGGCGCTCCCGAAGACGCGCCGCCTGAGGGGTGGCGAGGCTGCTTAGGGGTTTAGGGGTTTAAGGGTTTAGGGGTTTAGGGTGTTTAGGGTTTAGGGTTTAGGGGTTTAGAGCTCAGGGTTCAAGGGCTTAGGGGTTTAGGGTGTTTAGGGTTTGGGGTTTAGGGGTTTAGGGGTTTAGAGCTTAGGGTTCAAGGGCTTAGGGGTTTAGGGTGTTTAGGGGTTCAGGGGTTTAGGGGTTTAGGAAGAGAGAAGCCCAGGTGGCTTGCTCGCCGACCGCATGGGTTGCTTGGCCCGACAGCAGCGGCACCCTCTACGGCCTGAATCGCCAAACCCCTTATGGTTTAGGGTTTAGGGTTTAGGGGCTTAGGGTTTAGGGGTTTAGGGTTTAGGGTTTAGTCTACACCACATACATCCTACACGTGAGGAAAAGCCGATGGACACCAGTTGGATGCTTAGCGAAAAAGCTATCAAAGCACACTGCGTGAGAAAACCACCCACGCGCACGTGAACCCAAACAATGAAGCCCTAGCCTGCGCCGATGACGAAGACACAGGGTTGCTCTAAATCCCAAGCCAGTGCACGCCTCGAAAATTTGATATAGAAGTCGTACAGCTGCCAAGGGAACACTAAGCGTTCAACCGATACACCCTGACTTCAACCCCGATCTGAAATCAAACTAGCCGCCGGGACCCGAAACTAAGCCTTGAAGCCTAAACCGCCTTACCCAAACCCCCCAGGTACCTACTATATAGGTCACTAGAGCCCCTAGGGCCCTATATAGTAGGTACCTGGAGGGTTAGGGTTACTTCACCCGTAATCCGTCGTAATCCTAACGCTAACAAATCTACGTTTCAATGTCAACTGTCCAACTTCACTGCCGAATTGCTGTTCATGTGCCACCAGCTTACCCTAAACCCTAAACCCTACACCGCCAGTTAGAAAGATGCCGGGCTTCAGATTTCGCAGGCTGCGAGGCTAGGTCCACCTTCAGCAGTGCACTTATGTTGTGGTTTAGGGTTTAGGGTTTAGGGTTTAGGGGTTTAGGGTTTAGGGGTTTAGGGTTTAGGGTTCTTATGACCCTTCTGCTTTCTGTGCCGTAAGTTCCGCATGGCGCCACATCGTGCAGCTTGCTACAGATTATAGCATATGTTGTCACAGGATTTCCTCCTGATTCCTTGCTGTTCCTCGCCCCCGCCGCTGCGAATTCCCAGTCTTGACAGAGTTTTGCAACTGGGAACGTTGAACGTTGCCATGTTCTAGTACACACTTACTCTTAGTGGCATAGGTTTAGGATGCTGTCATAACCCCTTAAACTCCCAAACACACCAGCTGGCCGAAACGCTACACCCTAAACCCCTAAACCCTAAACCCCAACACTAAACCCTAAACCCTAAACCATCACAGCAGCATGCCTTGCCAGAGCCCAGGCTTTGGCAAGACCAGTGTTGCGATTGGCTTAAGTTCACTGGATGCGACTTTGCGGCCGCCCCGGCGCAAGGTGGGAGTGTCCGGTTATACGTTTGTGATGTGTTTTTGGTGTTTGTTTTAGGGTGTGTACTTTACGTTAGAGGCTTTAGTTAAAGGAGTTTATAAGGTTCTTATCTCTGACGTTAGCCTGCCCCCTATCATCTGTGCACCACCAGCCTCCCATCCCATGAGGGGGCCGAACTCTACGCCTTAAACCCTCAACCCTCGAAAGCACTACCGAACCTCCCCAAAGACCAAAGTTTCGAATCAGGAGTCTCGCAATTCGGGTTTTGTCCCGAGTCTGGCCACGCTCATCATGTGCCCTTCGCACCTGCTGGATGCTTGGTTGTTTAAGGGTTGGGTTTAGGGTTTAGGGTTTCGTGCAGGCTGGAGCGTATCTCTCTCAACTGCTCACATGACTCACGTTTGCATGACAGCCGTCATACCCTTAAGCCCTAGACTCAATGCCCCACATCCCTGAAGCCCTAGACGTTAATCTCTGCACGTCCACTCAGTGACAACTGACTTCAAGGCATAAATGCCGATAATGTAAAGTTTCTGGAACCCTGTTAACTAGAGAAAGTCATGTGCTGAAGAAAGCCGTGGCTTCACTGCTGCGCATAAAGCAGAACCGTCATGCAACCGTCGCAGAGGCAACGACGAGTTCTCCGACCAGCAGCAACAGCAACAACAGCAACAACAGCAACAACAATCAAACAAGCAAACAAACAACAACACACTGTAAACGAGACGACATGCGAACAGTCATAAAGCCGTGAACCAAGACCATGCAACCATGGCCGTGCAAGTAATGCTCCTGCCATCACCGCCTCCACCACCACTGCCGCCACCACCACCACCACCACCACAACCACCACCACCTGCGCCGGAATCACCACGAGGACGATGCTGACTACTGCTCTTGCAGTAGCCTCCTGCTTGTTGTATTGGCCACAAGCAACCACTTGCACACAAACGGATGCATGACTGACACACGTCGCAGCATCACGGCTGCTTAACCGGCTTAACTTGGCTTCACCACCCGAGCCGCCACCATCATGTTGCTCAATCTCAGCCTCAGTCTCACCATGACTTTCGTGTTCATTCTCATTTCCAGCGTCCAATATACGTCGTGCCATCATTGTCGTCACCAGTAGTTAAATTTCGAATATCAGATTCAGTATCATTGCAAGTATCACCATTCTCAGATAATGCCTCCGATTGGAGTCTTCTTCATCCGTCGGTCATCATATCCGTCATCATCATGATACCCATCAACGCCATCGTTGTCGGCACGAGTATCGTCATGCGAATCGCGGACATCATCGTGACCATTGCCATCACCCGCAATCCATCCAGGGCTGTGGGCTTGCCATGGCGGACACATCTATGTAGTCCGACAGTAGCCCACAGAGACCCATGCCCCATTTCACAAGCTCGGACTTCGAGCGCTATGTTCTTGTTTCGATGATCTCCCGGAAGCCTCAACTCCGGGATTCAGCGTTTTGAGGTGGAACGATTCGTCTCGGCTAACACAACGGTCTGTGCTTTCTTCGGCCCAAACCGAGAGTAGAGCTCTGTGACGCCCAGGACCAATGGAAAGGCGAGTTCTGGAAATTCCTGGGAGAAGACGGAGTGCAAATCAGCACGCCGCAGGCAAAGAATGCTACAGCAGCAAAGAATAGCATCGCACTGCTACTGCTCCAGCTCCTGCTCCTGCTCCTGCTACTGCTACTGCTGCCACTGTTAAGACTCCTGCGGCTACTGCTGCTGCCGCTGCTTCTACTGCTACTGCTACCGCTACTGCTGCTGCTACCGCTACTGCTGCTGCCACTGTCATGCGTGCACATTTGTACCTTCTATGACTGGGGCTTTTTTCCACAGCACAGGAAAAGACAACGAGTATCACAGCATCGGCCAAAAACGGCCAAGAGCTGAGGAGGCTAAGGAAAACTAGAAACACCTGAAAATGAGTATAGCCAAACATGTCCATGGCTCTTGGTCGCATGTAGCAGAAAAAGTTTATGGAAAGGGTTAAGGCGGTGCCTGAGCGGGCCGTTTGTAATAGGGATACCATGGGGCTACGGCATTGGTAGCCCAGAGAGTGGCTCCAGGCTTTGATCCTGCCACAAGAGACTCTAGCGTCTGAAAGCCTGGAAAGTGGAGCAACAGTAAGGAAAACTTACCGAAACCGAAGAAAACCAACGCGAAACACTGCCTAGACAGCAAGGAACACTTACCAACATACTGAAGAAAACCCAAGCGAAACTAAGCAAAAGCAGCCTGCACATAAAAAGAGAACTCAAAAAGTAAAGAACACTTCACACACCTAGAAAAACTAAATAATTCCTAGATTTCGGGCTTGCCCAAACAAAACAGGAGTCTCTCAGAGGCTCAGTAGCCCGCTTTTGAACCGTCATGCAGCGAGCATTCACATGTCAAAGTCTCAGTCTAGCAGGCTCAACATTTTGCGCTGCGAGCGTGGATGCTAAGCAAAAGATTTATCCTGGCAAATGCTAGTTCCCTTGCTCGTGGTCTGCCTGTGCAAAGGCTTCCGAGAAAGAAGGTACAGATGTTCACGCTTGATACTGCTACTGCTGCTGCTGCTGCTGCTGCTGCTGCTGCCGCTGCTGCTGCTGCTAGTGCTGCTGCTACTGCTACTGCTACTGCAACTGCTACTGCTGCGGCTGCTGCTCCTGCTGCTACTGCTACCACTGCTGCTGCTGCTCCTGCTCCTGCTCCTGCTCCTGCTCCTGCTCCTGCTCCTGCTCCTGCTCCTGCTTCTGCTTCGGCTCCTGCTCCTGCTCCTGCTGCTGC